GCTATATTAGAATGGGTATTTTGGCATGTTGATGCATGTGTGTTGTGACTGACAGCAGCTCAGCTAAACCTTTTTTTTTTTTTTTTTTTTTTTCTTGTCCATCATGTGATGTAGACATGCATCAGAGCTAGGTTTTTGATCGTAGCTTGTTTTGTAATTATTTCGACTCAGCTCATTGACTTTGGATCACAGGAGCATTTACATTTCTAGAACAACCTAGACTCTAAAACATGAATCCTGAATTGGCTGTGCTGGTCCAGAATTTTACATATACTTGATTCAGAGATTTGCTACCTGATTTTTGCCTTCATTTGAACAAGTTCAGACTATCTTAACATCTGCTGAGAATCTGGCTCACTAGAATGAATAAAATGAAGAAGTTGAATTCAGTAGTTTTTTGAATATGAGGAAAGAAAAATGCTATCCTAAAAAATGTTCAGGGAAACTTATCAACCTATAGTTATTTTTTATTGACAACAGGGAAGTTTAATACTGAAAATATTTCTAACTCCAGATAGCCAGTCAATCACTTATTAATTGAAGGCAGATAAAACTCCTATAAAGACAATATATTATCACCCTGGGATGTTAGCATTACGAAATTTACTTTGTCAGAAACCTGACTGAAACTTTGGTTCAGAAGCACCTCTAATCATACTTTGCCTGGTGATAATATACAGATAAGTGGCAATTGTTTTTGCTTGTTTCAGCTATAATGTTTAAAATTTAACAGAATATTATTGTTTCAAAGATCAGAATAATACTAAATATGCTACAGTATCAAGATAATTTTTATGTGATTTTAGGTGCAATGTAGGTTCTTAGAAATACTTAAATGTAGTATGTTGACATGTTACTAATCATGTACTAATGATTAAGCAGAAGATAAAGTTCTGGTTCATAAAAGTTAATAAAATTTCATAAGCATGTGCTTTACTGGCAATATTACTAAAGCCAATAAACTCTGTTGGTAAAATGAGGTAAATTTAATTTAAGCATACAGTTTTCCTTATGCGCGCAAACTCCAAATTTAACATGTTTTAAAGTCCTTTTAAATTTTATTGCTGTTAATATTTCAGAAGTTGAAGTATAAGCATCAAATTTTATTAATTTACCCTTGTTGATAAAACCTGAATGTATTCATGTTACGGTAGGTATGCAATAATTGCATATGCTAGTAGCAGTTTTTCCTTAATAATACTCATTTTTTGCATATGAAAGAATCAATAGACATCTTTGTTCAACATATTTTGTTCACTACAGATATTTTCCATATTCAAAACTGAATGTAGAATTGTTAAAATATTTTTATTTCAACCCAAGAAATAGGATATGAAAAACATTTATTTATTTATTTATTTATTAATTATACTTGTGTAAGTCTAAATGCTTACTCGAATAGCAAATTAATGGTATTTGCAGAATCATATATCAGGTGAATCTTTTAAAGTGTATTTCTGCTTTTGATCTACTTTTCTTTTGCTTGTCAGAATAATAGCATGAAAATTTTGCAAGAGTAACATATGTAAGTTGTTAGTTAAGTGCATCACACTTTGTTCATTTTATTTTAGTGACTTAAACAGGATCATGACAAACAAAGTAGGAAAGGAGTTCTATACTCATACCCAGAGCATCATGAGTCATATTTCTTTTTGTATTTTTACTACAGTAGTACCAATGGATCCTATTTCTCAGAGAAATCTTGCTGAGAGAGTGAGGCTGCCAAGGTGTGGTATGAGAATACGGGAGAGAATGACTGAAATATACTCAAATTAAAAAAATGCTACTTTTTTTTTTTTTAATTAATTCTACATATATTTAGGTGACTGCAGTTGTACAGCATGCATTGCTTTTGGTCCCTTTTCAGTTTAGCTTACAGAAAAGCACCTTCAAAGTGCAGTGCACGAGGGGAGTATGTAGAAGTGGGTGAATGAGGATAGAAGGTGTTTCCAGGTTTTTTTTTTATTTCATAGAATCATAGAATATCCTGAGTTGGAAGGGGCCCATAAGGATCATCAAGTCCAACTCCTGGCACCTCACAGGTCTACCCAAAAGTTTAGACCATGTGACTAAGTGCACAGTCCAATTTCGTTTGTTTGTTTCTCACTGCTCTAGCTTCTGAGTAGCAGGCAATAAATTTCATTTATCTCTCTATGCTGAGTCTCATTTGCCTGTGACTATAATTATTGAGTGATCTCCTTGTCCTTATCTCAACCCTTGAGCCCTTTTCATTGTATTTTCTCCCCCTTTCCCTTTGAGGAGGGGGAGTGAAAGCGTGGTTGTGGTGGAGCTAGGCTGCCCAGCTGGGTAAAACATAACACATGTCCATCCCCTCTAACTTCTTACAAGTTCAAATTTTTAGAGGGACCAATAACACTTGAAGGTTTAAAATCCATCTACTGTTCTCTAGAGGAGTTAAAACCTGCATTGGTTTGGCCTTGGTATTTGGAGAAGCCTCTGGGGAAACTCTCTCTCATCACCTTTAGTATATATATTTTTTTCTTTCTTTCTTAATTTGGGCAGGCTTTTACGTAAAGTTATGAGAATCCAAGATTGATGCAGGAAATACCTAGAAAGAGAAGATGCAGACAATTGAGTTTGTAAGGGTGAAGTTGAAGGGTTCAAAATAGCAACAGGAGTAAAGCAAGGCATGATCACAGCCCTTTCTAAAGCACCCTCCTATCGAGGGGCTGAGCCTCACGGTGGATGCTTTGACCCAGATGACAATAACTTCTCAGAAGAGTATAAAGATACAAGCCCTTATGATCCTGTTAATAAAACATTAGGAGCTTTTAAAGCAAAACCTTTAATGCTCATTGCTACTCGGGTCACTATCAAAATAAAATGTGGAGGAGTAGATCAAGGAGAAAGATGTCGAAATGTGCAGCCAAAAGTGTTGCAGTGTCTGAACACACAGGATCTCACGCATACTGACATTAACTACTTAGTTAAAGCACATGTAGATCAGGTAGCTGTACCAGCCATGCCTTTATTAGAACTAGCAGAATGAGTCCAATAAGCAGGGATAATTCTGAGAAATGAGCGGAAATAGTATCAGAAAGAAAGGGGAAAAAAGTGGTTTTTAAATAGATCAATATGTACTGCTCTCACAATGTAAGTAACTCTATCCTTGTCCTGATAGGACTAACTTTGAAACTCAGAAATTAATCCTGTAAAATGTTCTGCACCCTTAGCAGTAACACTGTGGTTTGCAACAGCTGCAGGAATTTTTCTATTAACTTCACAACCTGTAGTAGTTTCTACTAGTAGAAATAGTATTTTTGTTGATTGTGAAAATTGCATTGGCTGTAAAAATCAATCACTTGCCAGGTGAGGTAAGGGCCATACATGTTGATAAAGAAATGTGAGCCACATGTAGATCTCTGCAGGTTGTCATGAGGCAAGACAAGACAGGTAAAAGTGAGCATGCTGGGAAGATAGTGTTGCCCATTTCCAATCCAAGGTCCTTGAGTATAGTAGATTTTGCAATATCTTTGTTGCACTCCTAAGTAATATTCTGTGGTTTATTGAATATTAAAAAGGAACTTATCAGCACAGCTTTTCTGCCATTGTTAGTGGACGGCTTTGCATTGCCCAGGCAGAGCAAAGCCCTGGGAACTGTCTGGGCTGGCGAGGGCCTGAGCTGTTTGGGGCCGGTTTCTGTGTGTCCAGCAGCATCGTGCTGATGGCCTCCCTGTCTGTAGCTTCAGCTCTGCAAGCGCCATGCCTTGGAAAAGGCTGGCAGCCCCTGGGTTCTTGGTGCATCACACCCAGGGGGTTGATGCATGCCAGTCCTCAGCTCAGTAAAAAGGAAGCAGAAAGAGTAAAATACAAAAAGACAAACCTAAATTGTAGCCAAGACTTGTCTTCACAGGGAAGGGATCTCCTATCCTTCCCTGCCCTTTCATGTCCTCTTTAGGCAGTTCTGCAGAAGCTCTAGTTCTAAGAGTCCAGTATCGTAGATACCCCTTGATGTAATTCTTTCATTTTTCATTCTTCTTTAAATACTGGCTTAAATTTACAGGAAACACTAGCAGCCTAGACTAGCAGGGTGAACATACTTACCTTGCATGTTTGGAAGGGGAAAGGTTCTGTTAGCACAGCAGAGAGTAACACAAGTCATTCTTTAGCCTGTGTGTACATTAAAAACTTTCCCTAGGTCTTGAAATTGAGTGTTTTGCCATTCTGGCTTACGGGGGATTAACTTTAAGTAACTACTTAGATATACAATTCCCAGATGAGTTAAATATGCACATAGGGGTTCTTAGAGCTTACAGAATGCTCTTAACAGAAGTGCCTGAGACTTTAATGACATGCAAGGTACACATTATACATTTAATTGCTGTTCTGCGCTACTGTGGACAGACACTTCTGTATAGTTTCTGGCTAATCTTGTTAAGAACTGGCCATATTTACCCCTTGGTGTCCTTCCTCGGGTAGCTGTTCTATCTCTTCCCTGAACATGCCATTCCTTAAAAGAAATATGTTGCATACAACTTTTAACCATTTAAAAGGTGATGGTGACAGCTGACAGTGGAAATGCACTACTTTTCATTGAGCATCAAAATTTAGACTCAAAAGAAAACTAAGTGATTCACAAGGTCAAAGCAAGAATTGATTTACTGTTTGAAGAATACATGGATGTTTTTGGATCTGTGCTATTAGGGGAATCAAGTCTAATAATTGTTGTGCTGCTAAATGGATTTGTGTTCAAATAGGACAAAGACTGTAGTCATATTTATGAAAAATTAAATTTCATGGTGTTATTTAAAAACACGTGCTTAAAAATTAGTCTTTTCCAAGTAGGTGTGTTTTTCTAATTTACCTTGTAATTTGGTACCTCTCTGGCTGGCAGGTGTTGTTCTGGAAAGTTCTGTCATAGTGTTGACTTGGAGTGATAAGATTAAATTGAGAGTTTCATTTCAGTCTCCCTTCATAAACTTCATTATTATGTAAGAGTTTTCTTCCAACTCTCTCCTCTCCTCTCTATTTTTCTTTAGGACGCACACTTCAGAGCCCTGCGAGCACTAAGAGGCCTTAATAGCCATGATGGTCCCACCTGGGCACTCCCCGCTCCCTCTGCCTCTCGGCCAGCAGCTGTGTTTGCACCCAGCACCTGCCTGAGGTGTGCCAGACACGCAATGCTCTTCAGCTCAGCCAGGCCTGGGGCCGGACCAGCACTCACTGCACCGTAGCCCAAGCCTGACCTGCAGGTTGAATTCCTGTCTTGGCATTGGACCTGCCTTATCACCGTGGTATTGCCTCCTGCACTGGGCTCATGGCCAGGGCTGGCCACTGCCTCTGGCCTTGCTGTGCTGAGGGAGTGGGTGGCCCTCGCCATGCCCAAGGTCAGTCAGCTATTTGTGCCCAGACCCGTGGCACCACCTGCTGCTCTCTAACTGCAAAGGTACAAATTGTTACAAATCATGGAGTTAGTCAGAATGTGGGATAGGAGAGAGGTTGGTTTGTTAACAGATTTGCTCAGCTGCAGTTTAAATACTAGCGGCTATGTTAAATTTAAGTATATTGCCAGGTAGCTATGAATTTGTCAGACGGAAGCATATTTTTACTCCTGGGCTTGTGATTGTGTGATAAATATGCTAAACAAGACCCTGGCACATAGAAAATGTTTTCTAGAGGATTAATTAATGTAAAGATATCATTCTTAGCAGAAGAGAAAGCTGGGCTTATAGCTTCAGGAATCAGTGTTAGCAGAGGAATACGTTACCTGTTTGCAGACCTGCAAGGCATATCGACCATTAGGTCAAGAGTGCCCAACTTCATTCACCCTCCCTGCCCAGAACCAAACACCTTAATTACAGGAACCTTCCTGAAATTCATGTCATCCTGGAATTTGCTGTAAGGTAGTATGAATTTACAGCATCCTAAAACTGGGCTCTTTTTCTAGGAGAAAAATGTTTTTCAAAGGAGTGAATCACAATTAATGAACAACCATATGACAGTTATTGACGATCCCTCCAGAATATATTACGTATTGGCTTAATACTTTCTTCTAATAAGGCCTAACATGACATAAGGTTCTATCTGAAGGACCTTCTTGCTTTATTAATCTCATTATGACCACTTGAATTGCTACATTCTCAGTAATGATTAAAACATTTGACTCCCAAGTGTGATATTATAATGAAGATGGAGTTCACAGAATAAGGCATTGTATCATTCTGCAAAGGCTGGCAGCAAATTGAAATATGAATCAAACTCCCCAATGTGATTTCTCTACTACTTCCATGGAAGAAGAAATTCAAAAATTTTACATACATACATACATGTACAGGTTTCAAAATCCAAATAAGAATGATCTCACGGAAGATATACTTTTGCATTCTTAAATCTTAGAAAATATGATGTTTTCACCATCCTTTTTAAAAGGAGCATGGCTTATGTGAATTGCCAAACTAAAATTGACCACTTGTAAATGTAGTATGTCCTCCTCTTCCCATTGCACATATGTTTTTGGGAAAAATAGTGGCCAAATTCCAGTTTGACAAGTTATATATTTTTCTTGTTCTGTACATGTCTCCTGTAACAGAAAATGTATAAACTTTCTTCTTTACTTGAATATACCATTTCTCAGTGGAGGAATATAATGAAACATACATTTGTAAACATGTTTGCATAAAAAACTTCAACTCTTATTTAAAAATAATAAAAAAAAAATCTTGTGTGAAGAAAGGATTCAAACTTATCTATAATCAAACTTGTTTGTAAATAATAAAACCAAAGAAAATAAAAGAAAGGCTTGGAAATGAATTTTAATTCCTCTACTTTTTTTTCCTACAGGAGAAAAAGGAAAGACACATTGCTGTTCCTCAGTATGAAGATCTAGAATAAAAAAAACACCACCACCACCACCAACAAAAAACCACAGGATAGAAGCATAAAGCATGTTGGTCAAGCAATCCTGAGGTATGAAACAAAGTGGGAATTGAAACTGAGCGTGATCGTTTTTGTTTAATGTTTCCCTTGCCTATTGTTTCAGCCAGGTGGAAATGGTTACTTCTCAGAGAATCAGTTAATTCAGCATTTTCCTGATTCAAGAGAGATTTCCATAGGTACAATGTTTTATGGGTATGTGCTTCCTTGGGCACAATGCATAAAATTCTTCAGGCTTCTACCCAGTGTGACTATCTTCCAGCGACTCACCAGTCCCACCACCAAAAACTCAAAGACTTGAATTAGCTGTATATTCAATTTCTTTTTCATGCTTTCCTTTTTGGTCTGATTTCTTGTCTAATGGATACATACACATCCATTTATTTCCTTGTCTTGGTGAAGGCAGGAAGGGAGTATAACAGAATACTGTATCATTAGGAAAAAAAGGTTGATACTGCATTTTAAGGCAGTGGTGGAGCCTGGGTTGCAGCACTTAAAAAAAATTTGGAGAAACTTCCGTTTTTGTAAACACCTACGAAATATCCCCCAGATGTCTAGGGAACTTAAGGTATATTTGGTTTAGGTCATATTGGTCTACAAGAGGCTTGTAGATCAAATGACAACACCTGCTGTCATTTCAAATAGACTTTTTTCTAAATTACCTTTACACTGCTGTTTTGTTTTTGAATGTGTCAAATATTGTTCAGATTTTTGCATTTACGTTGCTATTTGCAATAATTCTGCTATATAAAATACTAAGGGAGGACAAAAAAAGTATTTTGAAGCTCTGAATAGGTAAGTGGAGTCTAATTATCAATGAGGGAGAGAAGCGACCAAACTTTGTATTGAATTTAGTCTTGTGAGAGACAATGTGTAAGAACATTAGAAAAAACAGAAAAACAGTCAGGATGTCATTTTGAGCATTCCTAATGTTATAAATTCTGAGCCAATTTAGCTTTATAAGATTTATTTATGGGGTCAATAAAAGGCAAGTTTTATTATTATTATTTATTTATTTATTTATTTATTTATTTATTTTGTTGTTTTATAGCTTTACAAGATTTATTTATGGGGTCAATAAAAGGCAAGTTAACAGTGCTGAGTGTGTGGGGAGTCTGGGCTCCTCCAACACACACACTCATTACATCAGGTGTCTGGTTTTTATGCTCCTAGGCTAATACATATTCATTACTACTTCTAGAAAAGGCAGGGTTATTATAACTAGTTCCCGGAATCCGAACCCTCCCACTGACGCATGTGTATCAGTCTCTGGTGGTCCCTCTGGGGGTCTCTCATGCTGAAGGCTCGTAATCTTCCCAGGCTTTTTCCTTGTCCTTCTCCTTTTTCCATCTTGGCCAGATGTCAGAGACTTGTGCAGCATCCCATGCAAGCTTTGTCTTTTAGTCATCCTTCAGCTTTCCCTTTTTCCTTAATCTCTTGGCCGGATATCAGAGACTTGCGTAGTGTCCCATGCAATAGTCACAATAGTTATCAGTTATTCTGAAACCCCCACAGATATCAGAGACTCAAGGTTTACTGTTCAAGTCCTCTATTGACATGAATTGCTGAAACATTCTGTACACTGAACATTAGCGTTAGGTCAGAGATTGGACTCGATGATCTTGAGGTCTCTTCCAACCTAGAAATTCTGTGATTCTGTGTGATTTTATATTTCATGTATTAAACAATAAGATAAAAGAAACTTCCCCTCCCTAACATAGAACCAATTGAATAGATTGTATTCAACTGTTAAAAAGTAACATGAAAAAAAAAATCAGAGATATAGTAAGATTTTTTTTGAGTGTCATTTTTATGATTATTTGGCTTATAAGGTCACTTTCTTATGGGTCTGTTAAGAGCATTTTATGCACTGAACTAAAAATCATTTGTTTTATTTATTGCATGGAAGGGGCTGTGAGCTTTTTCATAATTATATTGTTGTTCAGTTGTCAAGATAATTGAATATTCACTTGGTCTAGGACAGGATAGAATTTGTTCTCATTATTCTTTATAAAAGACAGCCAACATTAGTATCAGGAGGGACCATATTTTTCTTAATGTTCTTTGAAAGCATAACTGCTTCAGGTCCTTATAATATGTGTGATATATATTTACCTTATCACTGTAAGTTGGGCTAAGGCTAGATGTTTTGAACTGGGGCATGACTCAAAAGTCAACAGTTCACCCAACTTCCATATTTTTGCGTAGTTTTAATGTTCCAATTTAATTTCGTCATTGCTATCAAAGGAAATTCTCCTTTATACTGTTAAACAGAAATTCATATATGCTATGTAAGGCAGTCATACTTCTGTCAAGAAGATATGAAAATCATTTGGGTTCTATTGGAAAGAGTTCAAAAAGAAAATCATGAATGAAATAAAGGGAATCTTTCATCTTCCTATTCTGATCTCTTAGTAGACTGTTTAATCTCAAAGTGTAAGTGCATGAATGCAAAATTAGGGTGAAAACTCAACTTCTACCCCTTCTGGAGTTTGGAAAAGGAAAAAAAAAAAAGGTAGGAGTCTGGGTTTATAATTATTTGTGCCTACAGTGGATTAATTTTCTTTCTCGTGAGTTTTCTCATGACTGTATGACATTTACCCTAGAAGTTGGTGATGTACCTACTCTGTGACCAAAATACAATAAATCTGAGCAATCCAAGGTTTGTTCATTTAGTAGTGGATATATATTAAGCCTGTAAGGGTAGTATTTGCTTACTTTACTGAGACTCAAGATCTTTTATTTAAAATGTTTGGACATGTTAGGCAACATAAAATTTTAATTTATAATCTCAACAAGACAAATAAGTAAAATGTAGAAATGAAATGATTCCTTGCATTAGTTGTGCATATTAATTAAGGTCCTACATATTTCTTCCTTTATTCTATCCAGGCAGTAAATCTCTCTTCAAAAATTTGTATGTATTTCATTGCCTATAGTTAATTCTGACCTTTGCCACAAACTGCTACGAGCCATCAGCTGCTATAGACTCTTCCATAGTATTTATTTGAAAGAAAACAGCTAACTAATACTGGCTATTTATATTTCAGTAGAGGTCTACTTTTAGTCTTTTATTCTCTCTAGTCCTTAGCAAAATACTGAAGTTATTACAAAGATCAATATGCTTGTAAGAGAAAAGAGTACCATGGAAGTATTGAAAAGGTATCACATCTATACACAGCACAGATATCTCTGCCTGTAATAAAACACAACAGAAGTATTGGTACAGTGCCATTATGAGACAGTGCCACATGCCAGATGCACACAGCTTGATTTGCTATTTAGCTAATCCTGTTATGTAAGTAAGTATCTGTGGGCTTGTGGCAAGTGTCCCATTGACACCTTGGAGTAACATCTCCAAGGCTGGAAACCACAACTTCTGCACCTTAATTTGCTTGAAACACAAAACTCCTAGTTGAATATCTTCTCTAAAAACTTCTTTTTGTTTGTTTGTTTTTAATGGTATAATTTATATAACTCATACTTCTCCATATCATTGTTCCAAAGACAATTCAGAAGTCCTATGGAGACGAGATTAGCGAAGCTGATGCTGAGAAAAGAATGAGTGAAGTCCATCTGTTTTGTTTGTATTTACACAACACTTGTGTTAAGCAGAACATACACCTTTAAAAAATGCATTTCAAAAGGCTGATTCGCATAAAGCAAAACGAAACAAAAACCTCAGATCCTTTCTGACAGCACTGCAAACATCAGTGCATAGGAGACAATTCCATTTCATTTTGGAGTAGCTTTACTTGTAAGGAACAGTGTAGATTGTAAGTCTTTCATTGTACAGGAAAGTTGTATTTAAGTTCCAGGTATGTATTTGTTGGTTTCAGGCTCTGTTTTCTGTAAGTACTCTTAGCAGTAGGAAGGAACATGCAGGTGAAAGGCCTTGTTTTCCATTACTTGTTTAATGCTTGTTTTAGGTTGTTGCAAAGTTTTGCTGTTTATGAAAGGATGGAAATATATATATATACTTTTAGCTGGAAAACAGAACATGATGATTTAACCTGTTGATTTGTTCACCTGTGGAGATATGCTTTCATCAGAGAAAGATAAGCCTTACATTGGTAATATTACAGTGCCACGTCATTCTTTGCAAGGCATGAATAAGTGGCCAGTGAAAGAAAAATCAGTGTATAGTCTGGGAAAACAGGAGAGGGTATTGTTCGTATTCTTATTGTTACTTGAAAGGTATTTTTAATATGAAGATTTAATATGAAGATGTCTGTAGTATTTTTATCTGAGATTTTGGCAGGACTACATAATGTTTTATTCTAAAAGTTTACAGTTGCATTTATTGAAACATGTAAAGCCTTATTGTTTGCAAATGTTTTGCTTAACCTTGGGAGACTTTGCTCTGTGCGTGCTTACTTACATGCCATTTTCTTGTTGGTAAGACAGCAAATATTCTACCTAAATATGCAGGTTGCATTTTAAAATTGCTTAGGGGAAACAGTATTTTTAAAATATTCATCTATATTTGTCTCTGTGTAAGCAGGGTGACTGTCAATTTACTAGTTTCTGTTTCCTAAATAACGATGCTTTTCAATTAAAGAATAAATGTGGGACATATTTTTTTTTCTAATGATGTTGATCACTCAGAAGGTAGCAAAAGACAGAAGACTGATTGTATATTTCAACCTACTTCTATGTACAGTCTTGAGTAATAAAATCATAGGAATATCACCTCTAATTTCTGCCTTGGCCCCCAAAATTAAATCAACTTTACTGTGTATTCTCAATAAATAAATAAATAAATAAAATGGTCTAGCCTTTTCTTAGATATTTTCAGTTACGGAGAGTTTACAACCTCACCTGTCAGGCTATGGTTTGATACTACTTTTTTCCTTATGTTGCTGTTTTGCTTAGTCCAAAGAATTGCCCACTTAAAACACGACACTGATTAGCTTCTGTCTTATTGATCTATATGCACACTGAGTTTATTTACTCAAGCTTTACTGTCAGGACGGAATTAATTTTTGAAGTGTTCGTCGATAGAAAGATGAAGTTCTGGGTTAATTTTGATG